AATATGAATTTTCCTAATCTCTGAAATGAAGAAAGGAAGTTTGTTTTCGTTTATGTCCATGTTAGCAGAGGATAAGCATTGAATAAGCTTGGATGATATGTTTTCTGCTTTGAGATGACTGTTACGCACAGGATGCTGGCTTAGCTGACTTGGTGCTGTTTGGCTTTGTGGAGGGAAAAAGCATGTCACCCCTTGACTTGAGGGAACGCCTGTTTGTGAGTCAGCATGAGAACGGTGCTAGAACTGAAATAGCGTAACTGCTGGTCGCATGGCATGGAGACTAACCTAACTAGTTTTGCTAAGAGGCAGGACTTCGAGCTCTCTGTAGCTCTATACCAACAGTGTGGAAAGGATCTGGGTACGTTCTGTAGCATCTGCAGCCAAGCTCTTTGAAGTAAAATCTGCCAGGTAGAGTTTTAGCTGACGTGAAACTCTGAATTGGCACAAATCTAACTCCCTAATCAGTCGTCTTGTGGCATTGTAACAGAAAATCTGAGCTGCTTTGCATTTGGCCCTCAGTGCACTATGCATCTCAGCATTTGAATTTTTGGGGTGTGAATCTAGCTTTGTTTGTGATATGTTAGCTTCACAGAATAGTCCAGAAGGCTGACTGTAGGAGAGATGGCTGCCCTCCAGGGCGTAATTTCTAAAACCCCTCTTTCCAGACTTAAATTATGTCAGAGCTCTCAGATTCCTCTTTCCAGATAACTTTGTGAATGGATAGAATTGTAGGAAACATCAGCAGTATTGTACCGTGACAGAGCTAAGTTTCCTTTGACTGAAAACTTGTCTAGATATGACCTTGAGCTACCTGATCTAATGTCAAAGTTGGCCCTCCTGTGAGAAAGGGAGTAAGAACAGAGGCTCTCCGAAGGTCTCTTAACCTAAATTGTTTTATTCCAGGACTTCGATTAGCACATTCTTAGGCAAAACAGCAGCTTACTAATGGAATCAGATGGTGGGAATTTTTTTTTTTTTAAAGCTAATTGTAAGTGATTTTCATTCAGTTGTGCTCAGGTACCCATAGTGAATGCTGTCCATTGCAAACAAAGCCTTGTTTTGAATGAGTTGAAGGAGATATAGCATTTTGTTGTCCTTTTTGTCATACAAGCGTCAGAGAAAATAAGTAGCCCGTTCTACCATCTGCTCCCATCTCCCATTACTTACTTGGATGTTGACTATAGTTAGAGGGCCGATTCATAATAGATTTACAGACTCTTCTGACTCTAGCACTAGAATTTGTACAAAAAATTTAATTCTCTGACTGTAGTTAGCTGTGGGTTACCAGGTCTCTCTACACACTGCTCCAGATTCTTCCACTTGACAATTTATTTGGAAAAAAAATTTCATGAATTTTTAGACATCATTAATTCAGTAATGACTACTAATGCTGTTACTGAGAATTCACTCATCTGCTGACATGAATGAAATAGTGGTTAAGTGGTAGAAATTGTGCTTTCTGTGTGTGCTTAAATTAACTTTGGCTGAGCTTGAAGTTTCTTTAGAAGATGAGGAACATAAGAAAAATATGGAAAGCCCAGAAAAGTTTCCTTACCGCAAAAGAGAACATTCTGTTATTATGGGACAGAGCTTATTATTTCAGCAACGGTCTTTCAGCTGGATTGTTCTTTTGAAGTTATCCCAAATCCTGTTGAAAAATTTGGTCAATATTTTCTAGCTAATGAAAAGCTCAGTGTTTTTTAGAGTACTTTGCAAGAATGATGTGATGTGTCCAAATGTTTTGGGTTTTTTTTTTTTTTTCTGATAGAATTAGATTTTAGTCGTCTTGCATTTTTGCCTAATGGCAGCAATTCTGGAAATGTTGGCTTATTAGATTTTGAGATTGTTTTTTTCATTCAGTAGCTGAAAACTTTGCTTCACAAGAAAAAAATGGATCATTGATTGTTTTGAATAATTGTGTCGTAAGTTTGGGTTTTGTTTTGTATTTTGTTTTTTAACCCTTCCAGTATGTTTGTGTGGCAGGCCTTTTATTGTGGCATGGGTTTTTTTTTCTTTTTAGAGGGAAAATTAAGAGGTGAATCATATGAATTAACTGAGCTTTATTCTTGTCCTCTATTTATTCCTGAATTTTCAGTTTAATTAAAGGCAGAATTTATTCAATGTCTAGGAAGTAAATCAAAACAACAAAGTATAAAGGTGATTGAGGTGGCAAATTTTTACTTCTAAATAAAAGAAAGACTGTGATAAGTTGCTTCTTTGGTTGATTCTCCGAAAGCACATTTAATTTAGGCACGATTTAGTATTGCATGCTTCCAGATTTGAGATCCTTCTCTGCCTTTGTCCTGGATATTTTCTTAGACTGTCTAGAGAGCGTAAAGGATGCTGTTGAATGCCGTGCAGTTCCTTTGCATTGACAAATGGTTCAGGGGTATCTCATGCATTAGAAAGCTAAGGGCCTGTATGTTTATATTCTCCTTTTCAATTCCTGTCTTTCTTGGAACACCCGTCCATAGTCATAAGGTCACACGAACCATATGAAAATAAACCATGTCATACCACACGAACCCTGTCAGAATAAACAGTCTCAAACCGGAAGACTCGGACTTTTTCTTCATAATAAATGTGAAGAGCCATCCAAAGAAAAACAACCCAAGAACATTTAAACAATAAAAGTCACGATTATGAAATACTCTATATGCCTGCCTTGTTCCTGCTTTTTTTTGAATTCTTTGTCAAAAGTGGGTTTCTGCTCCAGAAAACAAATGTTTTGTCATGAAAGATTACCGATATTTATCAGGTCTAAAATGAAGGGAAGCTCAAGACATTCCTACTGTGAATTTGAACTGGAATATAAAGCTTAAAAATGACTAACTGTGATGAAAACAGGAAGGTCTTATTTATTAGACTGTGATATCTTAAGTTTGTGTGTTTTCTGTTTGTTTGTTCTTAGTGCCTGCCAGGCTGAAAAAAGTCTATTTAAATGTTGCTTGATGTAGGCTGAGGTTCCTTTAAAGATTCCCTAGGACATTCCTTCCCTCCTTCCTTCCATTCTTCATCAAGTTGATTAAAAGATCTAGGCAGTCCACTTCTCTCTACCTTTTGCATGAACAGTAATGGATATTTCTCAAGGGAAAGCTTGTATTAATACAAGGTACATAGACATCCAAGGAATTTGCAAAACTATCACAGGTCAGCCTGCAGGGAATTCCTATCTTTGATTTATTCCAGATGTGTTACTTTCAGCTCAGTTCAAAGTTTTGGAACTGGCATCCGCATCTGTGCATAAGATTTTCTGCAGTCATTTTCCGTCAGATGTCAAATAAAAGATCCTACTGATGTAGTCGATCTTCTGAGATCGACTAAATCAGTGTTGTCCACTGTTGTCTTTCAGTGAACGCACTGGACCAAAAAATACCTGATTTCCTATTTCAAGGGGATAGAATCCAGGATCTGTTTTGGGTGCATTTTCTATACATTTTTATAGATTTCCAGTTTTCTTATTTAGCAATTTCCTTTGAAATTTGGGAAGTTCCACTTACCTTTTACATGTTAAAGTTGTTCAGCATTGTTTTTGTACATGACTTGTTTTTAGCATGTAGTATTCATCATACAGTCTATAAAATACTGGAAACTTAGGAAACAACCTCCAGTAAGAAGGAAAGGTGTTTCACTCTGGGATCTAGTCTCCTTTTCAGGAACAGATATGTATTAATACATACATATATTCTACCTGAACAACATGGGAAATTAAAACTCAGGAATTTATCCCTGCAGTATAGCTTCTGAAAAGCAGATAGCAAATCATTTCTTTTTCCTACTGCAATAGTGTCTTTCTTGTTTGTTGTTTTTGTTAAAGAAAAGTTTGATTTATGTGATTTACATAAAATGTTTGCTACAGATTAAGAGCAGCACCTTTGAAGAATTACTTTATTTGCAGTATTTCTATAATTCTCAAACTGTACTAAGTAAATTTTGTAAATGAAAAAAGGAGGGATTAGGGACCGTTATTCTCCAGAAGTCAAAAGCAGAGCTAATAGCCTCAATGCAAAACTAAGCACTGATGTAAATGCAGTTGGATCAAGTCCCCTTTAAGATGTAAGCACCTAACGCCTATGAGATTCGTAAAGAACAATCCAGTCTGGCTGCTTTTGGGTGTACAGCTTCCCTTTATATACACTGAAATTTATTAAGCATTTTTATTAAGCTAATTTTGCCTAACAGTTTCCTTTGTATTGAACTGTAGTTGGCTATGATATTCAGAGGGTCTGTTCTAAGGCAAAAGCTACCAACTTTCCCTAAAAATCCACTGTTTGCTTGCTTAAGCAGATGGCCAGCACCAGAAGTCTGCTGAAGTTCTTTCGAAAAATCATTAAGGTTAAATACGTTGAGAACTCTAACTTCCCCACTAATGCGGGCGAGGTTTCTACCTTTGCATCTTCTTGCTAGTAGAGTGCTTGCCCAAGGAGTAGGAAATCTGGGTTTAATTATAAAGGGAATCTGGGGAGTTGTGTTGGGTGGACCCCCATCCGGGGCTGAAGCTGGCCAAACCTTATAGTGAGGTAGTGCCTGAAAGAGACACCTACACTAGCTGGGCTGTATTGCATTCACATTTATGCTAGGCCTTAATCCAGATGCAGCTACATTGTTGACTGAAATACCAGTGAAGACAAGTCATCAGTCATCTTTAGGTTTCTTTAAGCAATGCAAAGGCTTTACTCCTCCCTGTCATCCAGAAACTGAGCACTTCATTCCTATATCCCCTCCGTCCTAAAAAGCAAGACAAAAGTTTGAACTATAACCTTTGGTTAAGTAGGAATCATCAGAATTAGGTCAACCCCATGTTTGTTAAGATATGTAGAGTACCCAACAGTTAGCTTTTCTCTCACTGTACCAACTGTAATTGATTTTTCTGCCTTTTTTTGTATGAGGACTTGTAATAAGTTGGTTCCCAGTTTTAGCTGTAAAATGTTTAATTATTCTGTAGTAATTGTCAAGTGATTCATTATAATACATATGTGTTTTCCCTTCTTTTCCTATAGGTCTTCATTATTTCAAAAACATAGTGTTAGTAGGATCTCTGCAGGATCGTTATGTTCCTTATCACTCTGCTCGCATTGAGATGTGTAAAACAGCTTTAAAGGATAAGCAATCAGGTAATAAATACCCTCTAAAAAATCCACTGAGATTTAACCTCAGACGTCTCAGATACATCCTGTTTAATTTTCGGTGCTTAATTGAGGCACCTCAGTTATGTCACCCTGGGTTTACTCTGCAGGCTTGGAGAGAGGAAATCCATGCGAGAGCTGAACTGCTTTCTGGATTTGTCCCGTTTTTGTTAAATGCAGAAAGAGATGAGGCTGAATAAATTTGTAGCTTAGAAGCTTTGGTGAGGTGCTGTAAATTAGGTGGGATGAACACAGGCCCTGAGGTGTTCCTCCACGAACAGGGAGGACAAATAGCTTTGCTTTTGAGGACTAGAGTTGTAGCTTCAAGCACAATGGCTGTATTTAGAAGAGGCTTAATATTAGCATTGAAAGGAAAGGTACTTATTTTCAGAGATGGCTGGTTATTGTATTTATTGCTGGGATAGTCTAGCACCATTGTATTCTAGTATTACTTATTGACAAGTAAATGCCTTTTAAATAGCCAGTATAATAAATTAGTATAATAAATGGATGAACAATAAAATGCGTGAGTTAGAAAATTATTTTTTCAAAGATTTCTGAGGAAATTAAATTTCCTGTATTCTAACTTAACAGAGAAACAGTATAACATGCATTCCCTCTCTTATTCTGGAATGCATATATTTTCAACTAAAGGTCATAGAACCATAATTGTATCTGATGATTCATACAGTAAAACTTACTTCTGTTTTCCTCTACAGGACCAATTTATGCTGAAATGATCCAGAACCTGCTTCTGCCAGTTCTTCAAAATAAGGAATGTAATTTGGTTCGTTATAATGTCATTAATGCATTGCCCAATACAGCAGATTCTCTCATAGGAAGAGCTGCACACATTGCTGTTCTTGATTCAGAAATATTTTTAGAAAAATTCTTTCTTGTTGCTGCCCTAAAATATTTCCAGTAGAGAAGAGCATAGTGAGAGACTTGGTTATTACCTCATTAACAGATGAATCAAATAATGTGTGGTATTAAAGTATAGCTGCAGCTGTATTTTAAGAGATATTTATACTTTTTATATGGAAGATAATTTATATCATCCACACTTAGGGCTTTTTAACATCAACTTTACTTTCTAGGCAATGTGGCTGTGCAATATTTTTTTATTTTGTTCTTTTTACTTTTCTATTACTTTTTCTTAATTTTGGGTACCTAATTATTAGGAGATTAAAGCACAGTGTGTACTTTTGGTTGGGGTATTATTGGCTCTTAGGCTTAAGAAGTCAGTGTTACATGGCTACATTTTACTAGAGGCTTTAGATGCCAAAAGAAATTGGAAGTTAAAAATTCTAGTAAGGTATTACACATTCAGAGGTATTTTAGCACTGCAGAAAGTTTAACTGGAAACACAATGAGCTGCTAAAATACTGGATATTTGAGAATGACTGTATTTGTCAATCTCACAAAGACGACCGTTACCGAGTTGTCTGTTTAGATATCACTACATCTTAACAGTTTTCTACAAAATCATCATCATCCTTATTAAACATGTTATGCCGGTGTGGGAATATTTTTTCTACTGATCTCAAAAACATTCGTTTACATATTCACTTTTATTACTGGAACTTTAGTTTTCAGAAGCAAATGGCAACTAAGGATTTTTGAATGTTTAATGATAGCTGCCTTCAAATAATTGGGGTTTTGCAAAATTCATTAAAATTGCCCCTTACTCTGTCTTCAGATGAACGTGGACAGTTTTACATGGACTTCCTTGTATGTACGAAAAATAAGTAAATGTTATAAATTTCTGCAATACTTTTATGAATTTAAGCAATTTTTAAATATTGTTAAAATGTTTTATTGACTACAAAGTATTGTAAATATAGATCAACACATCTTCAAATGAGACACTATTGTAAACTTTACCTGTTTAGTGATACAGATAACATGTTTTTGATATACAAGAATGTTAAAGGTCTCTTGACTTTTTACTGGTGCTGAATAGCATTAAGTTTGGGTTCTCCTTCCTTCCCTTTTATCTTATTTCAAACAACAGTCCACTAAAGGTAGGGAAAAGGGTTACATGTGCATTCACTAAGTGTAACAAACATTTTTTGAAAAATACAAATTTGTTGTATAATGCATGTTTATTTTTAGCATTGTATTATTGCATCTGGTGTTAATAAAATGAACAAATGACTCTAATGGAAGCAATTAAAGCAACTGAAATCTACCAATTACCAAAATTCTGGGGAGGCTTTATATATTTTGTATTATTTGAACTTAATATAGCAATAATAGTTTATAATGAAGTAATCTTGCATTTGATATGGTTTGTTAATATCATCTTTGTAATATATTTCTTTCTCTGTAGCTTATAAGTTTCATTTGAGCACCTACAGTTTGGCAATGTGTACACTAAAAAGGAATATTGTATTACTGAGTTGCATTAGGCGAGTCCTTAAAATGATGACAGAAAAATATCTTAAATACATTCCCACTCCAAAAATGTATATTTTTATTAATAATTTTTATTTTATGACCATGTTACTATGTTGTGAATGTTTAAATTATGTTCGGACGTGTCAACTGTCCTTTGGTTAACAGTATTCTAGTACTTGCTAAACTAGCTAAATTTTTAATATCAGCTTAGGGAGCTAAGTCTGCAAAACAATTTTCCTTGATTCACAACGATCAAGTTAAGCTACTCATAATACATAATTTTTTAGACACTCCTGTCACTGTAGGAAAATGTCTATCTTGCTGTGTCTCTGGAAATCTAAAAATGTAGAGCATACTTTTGGGATTAGCACAGCAGAAATGATGTGTAGCCACTTTTTTAAATCATAGATCCCATGCATTTAAGCAGGCTTGAACTTGTTTTTCTTCTATGAAGAAAACAGAGGTTGTAGGAAGTCATAGCGTATTTAGATGCAAATTTACCAAGGACAGGCCAAATATTAACAGAACTTCATCTTCTTTTTGTCTCCCCTACTTTGTATCACCCACTGCAGTCCATCTGTGGTCTGGTAGCCCTGTCAGTGCTATAGCTTTTGTGGTGCTGTTTGATGCCCGTAATTCCCAGATAGATGGCCACTACTTGTTTGCAGTAAGATGATACTGCGTAGCGTGATGAGCCCGGTGTGCCCTTGGATCATATGAAGTTCATATTTGCACTTAAAAACTTTATGGTACACTTGCAGCTGCTGTATGAACAACATATGTGATGGATGGACGTTACAGACAGCTGTGTGTGTGTTGTATGGCGTGCTTGCCCGTATTTCTGCCTGTGATTTACTAGATAGAAATATGGGACTCATATACATAATTGGATGCATCAGGAGCCATAAAGTGTTCCATCTTCCCCTCCCACCTTCTGCTTGAATCAGGGCTTTGTCTTCCCGTAGGGAGAGTGACCTCTCCTTTTATGATAGTGCTAAGTATCCCACAGCCACTTGAAAGAGGAGTATGTTGCTTCAGGTGCTACTTATAGAATGGAAGACAAAAATGAAGCTCTTAGCATTCATCTAGAAAGCTGCTAGTCTCTTGTTCCCTGAAGGCATTACGCTGCTGCTGTTATTTCATAAAACTCCTGATGGTATTGTTAGGAGGTCATTGCATAAAACGAAATTACTGTATCTGAATATTTGTTTGTACATAGTGTATCTAAATTAATTCCATGGTTTGTGTTTGAATCGTCTATCAAAATTAAACTTTCTTATCCCGTAGATCTGGAAATTACTACTAATTGGGAAAAGGGGATCATGTGTTATTGTGGAAGTCACCAGACTCTGCAGCAGGGCCAAGAAATTCCATGTTAATGGAAAACTTATGCTATAGCCACAAAATACTCTTCATTCCAGGCCTATCTTATATGCACAGCCCTGAACAGGTATGTTGTTCAGATAGCCAGACAGGAAGGAAGAGGAATTTAGGCAGAATTGGCACGTTTGCCTGCTGCCTGTGGCAGTGGTTGCTGTGATGTAGGCTGCATGGTCAGCTTACACTCTGCCTCATCTGAATTGACCTGCTGCAGAGTAAGTGTCAGCTCCAGCTCTGCTTTTTAGAGCAGCAAAGTAGAACACAATATACTTTGACTTCTTGTGAGGCAAGCTGGAGAGCCAGAAATAAGTGATCAGTAAACTAGGTGAGGAAAACAGAAAAAAGAAAACACTACCTTCAATCGCAAAATGGCAAATTCTGCGGCATATGCTACATATACTAAAATACATAATTCAGGAGTAAAAAGTTTATTTACATTTTTACAGGAGTACAAGAAAGGAAGACGAGAAAAAAGAGGTGCTTTGCAGGTCTCAGCTTATTTTTTGGGTGGAAGAATAGTTTCTAATTAAACTTATGTCCTTATTTCATTCTTACCATTTGAGATTTGATGCATTTAAGCATGATTTTTTTTTTTATGGATTTGCCTTAAGCTGTTAAGGAATAGAGAGCTTACTATTAACCGGTACCTGCACTCAATTGAATGTTTTTAAGGTAAGGAATTCATGATAGCTTTTGCTGCATTGACCACATAGTTGCTAAGTTCTTGAACTTGCCATAGAATTTTTTTTCTTTTCTTTTTTTTTTTAATTGCTGATTTTTGAGCAGAAGAGCACTTTTTCTGCATGAGCCACCAGTAGTCGTCTTTACTGTCTCTAGTCCAGAAGCCCAGCATCTAGCTCTTAGAATAGAGGATTTTCATTATTTTCAGTCTCTAATGTCCAATTAACCATGTTATAAAAAGCTGACTGAGCTGGCAGTCAATTAAATTTAATCACTTTCAGTGTAGGCCTTGCCAGATGTAGTCCAATAAACTCAGTAGAGCATCACTGTTATTAACTTACCACATAGGTTTACTTTCTCGAACTCTTCAAAGGTGGACACAATATGCTCTTTGGACTCCAGTCTCTGTGAACAGCTGAATGAAAATTTTTTTTCTGTAGTTCAGTATCTGTGGACAGAGACTTCTGAGTTGTTTTGTTGAAGAAGGTGGTCATCTGAAGATGCCTGCAGAGCAACTAAAACCAAATGTTGCCATATTCAAAACAAGTCCAATTCTAACAGGGGTTTCTGAGCTGCACTGCATGTACCCAAATGTTATCTAGCCCAGGTTTAGATTTATATGGAGAGAGAGTACCCAGAGTTCAAAGCACTTTCACAGTACATAAGCTGGGAAACTGAGAAGACGTGGTCTGAATTGCTGCTTTGTTCAGTAATGGGGTTTTGTTTGTCACTTTCTGCTGCTTCCTTCCTTAAGGATGACTAACAGCTACTCAAGTGCAGAGAAGGCACCAGCGGCCGCATAGGTGACGTACCTGTTAATACAACTGAAAATGCAGTAGGGAGTCAAATTTATTGTTAAATTAATAATTATGAGAATAATTTGTAAAATTATTTCTTTAAGTCGCCAGACACAGCTGTTTTTTTTAGACGTTTTCCTTTTCTCCTTGTGTGGCCAGCACTTCATTCAGCAAGCACAAAGTTGTTCTTACTCTGGTTATCTTGGTCCCTGTAAACCCTTGGGTGCCTGAGAGATTTTCACATACTATTTGCCTATGTGAAAACTCACAAATTTGGCTGTTGCAAGATTCTGGAAGTTGCTCGTTCCCTGTTCTTGGCTGCCTATTTTGGATGCCGACAGAAGGTTCCTTAAAACATTCATTATCTGCCGAAGCCATGCTCCAAGCCCCTCTCTCCAAGGGATGTGAGGAGGAGAAGGGAGATAGAAAGGCCAAGGGAGGGCACGGCTGCACAGTAACCAAGAACGTGCCTTTCTCCAGGGCCTGTTACAAATCCTGATTTGTAAGTCCCACTGTTTGTTTTTTAATGATCTTGCAGTCGCCAGTTGAACCGCAGGCAGAGGGTTTGGTCCTTCAGTTAGTCAACTTTCAGCTCGTTCTCTAGTGGGAAAGTATGATTCAAGCTCCCTGTTGCTACTTTTAATGATTTCTTAAAGTGTGTTATCGCACATCACGTAAAAAGCTCAAAGTGCTAAAATACAGAGCCAAGGGTCTCCTGTATCCGCTGGATCCATCTACTAGCAGTACAAAGCAGCTACCGTCTGTGCGTTATGCTGTCAGCTAAATTATTTCATAATAGCTTTTGTGTGTGTTTTTAGCCATGTATTTTAACTGTTTTTGCCCCTGGGGAAGGAGAGGGACAGGTGTAGTTAATGGGGCTCCGCTACACATTCAGGAAAAAAAAAAGTAAGGTCGTTTCACACGGGTAAAGCCCCCCTTAACGGCACGGGCGAAGCGAGAAGCCTTTGGGCCAGGTTCGTCAGGTTCACCGGCATCTCTCCGGCACCTGCCAGCACCAGCTTGTT